TAGCCGTCGTGTTTTAAACTGGCTTCTCTCGCTTAGCAGGAGACTCGGAGTCCTTCATTCTCTAGTGGTGTTGTGGCTGTTTCTATGTCTATGTCAGGTCGCGGAAGAACAAGGAAGATCCCTCCTTCTCTGTTTATAACTGCTTACCGGCTTTGACCTCACAACAGGAATTCCTTCCTCCTGGTTTATAACTGGCTTCTCTCGCTTGAGCTGAGGCCAGGGACCAGAAGTGGGGAAAAGCAAACAGAGGGAATTCCTTCCTTCTCTGGTTTAAAACTGGCTTCTCTCGCTTGAGCCGAGGACAGGAAATTCCTTCCTTCTCTGGTTTATAACTGGCTTCTCTGGCTTGAGCCGAGGCCAGGGACCAGAAGTGGGGAAAAGCAAACAGAGGGAATTCCTTTCTTCTCTGGTTTAAAACTGGATTCTCTCGCTTGAGCCGAGGACAGGAAATTCCTTCCTTCTCTGGTTTATAACTGGTTTCTCTCGCTTGAGCCGAGGACAGGAAATTCCTTCCTTCTCTGGTTTATAACTGGCTTCTCTGGCTTGAGCCGAGGCCAGGGACCAGAAGCGGGGAAAAGTAAGCGGAGGAAATTCCTGCCTTCTCTGGTTTAAAACTGGCTACTCTGGCTTTAAAACGGGCTTCTCTGGCTTGATCCAAGGACAGGACATTCCTTCCTTCTCTGGTTTAAAACTGGCTACTCTGGCTTGAGCCGAGGCCAGGGACCAGAAGCAGGGAAAAGCAATCGGAGGAAATTCCTTCCTTCTCTGGTTTAAAACTGGCTCCTCTGGCTTGATCCAAGGCCAGGAAATTCCTTCCTTCTCTGGTTTAAAACTGGCTTCTCTGGCTTGAGCTGAGACCTGGGATCAGAAGCTGGGAAAAGCGGGATCATTTCCGACGCACTTCCTGAGTCGTAACAGAAACGGCAGAAAAAGCTTTGGAAGGCAAAAAGACTTCCGTTTTTTTAAAAAGCTTCGATATCGCTTCAAAAAGGTAATTTTAAGAAAATTATTACGAGCTACGAGTTATCCGAGCAACTCTATCCATTTCCTCCCAACTCCCCAGGGCTGTCCTACCAACTTCTTTGCTGAAGGCTGGTATTTAAAGGCTATCTTTTCAATCATTGTATCGTTTTCACTTATTTTATTTGTTCCTTGCCTTTGAAAGTCTTCAAATAGAGAAAGAAAACACTCACCAATTGCTATGGATCTCAGATAAAGCTTTTCGGCATTTTCGTACTGGTTCATGTCGTAGTTGTACAGCGAGGCCAAGTGTCCCACGGAAAGGGCCACTTCGTAATCTTCCTGGCCGAGAAGCAACTCCTTGATCTGGATCGCCTTGATATGCATTTCTTCTGCTTCCTGGAAGAAAGGCCCCACAATGATTAGGTATCAGGACCATCATCATCATCATCATCATCATCATCATCATCATCACCACCACTATCATCCTTTATACAGTAGGGAATCCTGGGATTTGTAGTTTGAGCACTCTTTGGCAGGGAAGGCCAACAGCCTTGTAAAACTGCCGCTCCCATGATTCTATAGCATTAAGCCTTGGGAAATAAAGTAGTGTCAAACTTGATGAATTTTACCATGTAGATCAGTGGTTCTCAAACAGTGGGTCCCCTGGTGTTTTGGTGTGTTTGGAAGAGAAACAAGAGGCAGGTAAGGAGGGTCAATATGTATATATATGGCTGGATGGCCCTCTGTTGGGAGGGCTTTGATTGTGTCTATCTATCTCTAGCTCTATACATATACATATACGTTTTAATCATTTTCTATATCACTGGCTGAATGGCCCTCTGTCAGGAGGGCTTTGATTGTGTCTGGCCTGATAGGAGGGGGTTAGGCTGGATGGCCTTTACGTGTTCCTTCTAAAGCTATGGTAATCTACATATCTATCTATATCTATCTCTATCTACATACATATATATATCTGAATCGTTTTCTGTATTTCTGGCTGAATGGTCCTCTGTTGGAGGGCTTTGATTGTGTCTGGCCTGGCAGGAGGGGATTGGACTAGATGTCCTTTACGGATCCCTTCTAAATCTACGGTACTCTATGTATCTATCTATTTCTACCTCTATCTATATACATATATATTTGAATCATTTTCTATATCTCTGGCTGAATGGCCCTCTGTCGGGAGGGCTTTGATTGCATCCGGTCTGGCAGGAGGGGGTTGGACTGGATGACCTTTACGGATCCCTTCTAAATCTATGGTACTCTATGTATCTATCTATCTATCTCTATCTATCTATATACATATATGTCTGAATGATTTTCTGTATCTCTGGCTGGATGGCAGGACTGGATGGCCTTTACGGGTCCCTTCTAAATCTTTGATATCAAATCTATCCACATATATACACATAAGTATGATTTGTTAGCTATAGCTATGGATGGGCCTTTGTTGGGAGGGCTTTGATTGGGTCCTCCTGCCCTGCTGAAAGGGATTGGATTGGGTGGCCTTTGATATTATGATACTTTATCTCCCTCTATCATTCATATATATCTATATCTTGATTATATCTATGGCTGGAAGCGCACAATGTGTGCACACAACCCCGAAGGTTCAATCAGGGAGCGACTTTGAGTGTCCTGGAGACACATCTTGACCAATATCCACCTCCCGCTCGCACTAAGTCAGATGCAGTTACCTTAAATTTCCTCATGGACTGGTAAAGTCGGCCCAGGTTGCCGTAGTGTTTGGCCGTCTGGACGTTGAACTCTCCGAAGGCTTTCTTGGCCAGCTGCAGCGAGGAGAGGTGCAAGTCGTGGGCCTCCTGCAACAACCGCTGCTCCGTCTCCTTGTTGTGACAGTCGATGGCAATCTCCTCCAAGATCAGGGCTTGGGACAGAAAGACAGAAAGAGCGGGGACGTGGGGAGGAGAAAGCCACACAGACACACCACGAGGAGGTATGCTGGTACCAAATACCGAGGCCAGCTGTCTTGGAAGAGACTTCCAAATCAGGATTTACCTTCCATTCAATGAGCCCATTTCAGGATTGGACATGAAGCTCAAATTAACCTGACAGTTTGCATATATGACACTGCCTGGCTCACGCTTGTGGGTTAAGCATTTGCAGACTGGATTATTTGCCTGTATTCGACCAAAAAAATGTGTTCTCTAATGGCTAAGACAACGGAACGGATGAAGACTCAATATGACGACATAGTTTTAAAATTTTTATTGTTACCGGTTTGATGTTTTTAGATATAGTGTAATGTGGTGTTTTATTTTTATTGATGTACTAGCTTTACCCGCCACGCGTTGCTGTGGCCAGCCTTCTCTCCCTCTTTCTCTGCTTCTTTCACTCCTTCCTTCATTCCCTTTTCTTCTTTCCTTTCTTCCTTCTCTACCTGTTTACTTCCTTCCTTAGCTGTTTGCTTTCATCCTTCTCCTTATTTCTTTCCTTCCCTGCGTCTTTCTCTCCTTCTTTCTCTTTTTCCTTTGCTGCGTCTTTCCTCCCTTCCCTTTTTTCTTTCCTTCTCTCCTCCTTCCTTCTGTACCTCTTTCCTTCCTCCTCCCTTTTTCTTTTCCTTCCTCTTTGTCTCCTTTCTTCCCTCTCTTTCTCTTTCCTTCCTTCCTTCGCTCTGTAGTTCCATACTTCCTTTTCTTTCTTTCTTTCCTTCCCTCCCTTGCCTTTTCTTCTGTCCTTTCTTCTCTTTCCTTCGTTCCTACACCTTCCCGTCCGCTTTCTTCTTCCTTCCTTCCTTCCTCCCTTCTTTCCCATGCTCCTACTCTCTCTTTCTTCTTTCTTTCCTACCTTTCTTCCCTCATATACTTTCCCAACTTCTCCTTCCTTCCTTTTTTCATACACCTTCCCTTCCCCTTCCCTCCTTTTGTTTATTTCCTACCTTTCTTCTCTGATATACCTGCCTTCCTTCTTTCCTTCCTTCCTACACCTTCCCTTCCCCTTCCCACTTTTCTTCTTTCTTTCCTTCTTTTCTTCCTTCCTTCCTATTTACAGCCCTTCCCCTCATTTCCGTCCTTCCTTCCCTCACCCGCTTCCTTCCCTCCTTCCCGTTCCTCATCGTCCCCGATGGCGGCGTCCTTCCTTCCCTGGAGCCAGACGCCGGTGTGCGGGGGCGGCCTGGGCCGGGCGTGGCGGAGGCCGAAGGGCTGTCCTCGGGAGAGGCGGGTCGCGGCCTCTCCCGGGCGGGCCACGAAGGCGTGCAGCGGGGGTAGGGGCGGGGCGGCGGAGGGTGGGGGCGTGGCTTTCTCGGAGGGGGGGGGTGGGAGGAGGAGGGGGGGAGGAGGGAAGGATGGCGTATGGGCGGGTAGGGGCGGGGCTTCCGCGGCAGGGTGTGGTCCGGCCATGTGCGCGCGCCGGGCGGCTCGTGCTGGGACGCTCTGCGCATGCTCTGTTTGTTTCTGTGATTGTGAGTTTGTTGTAATGTTTTTTTGAATTGTGGTGAGTGCTGTGCATACCTTGTGGTTTGAGGTATGCGTACAGCAAGTTTGGTGAGTTTTCGTCTGGGGGTTTTCGCGTTTTGCGGTCCCTAACAACGCTCTTTTTCATTTTATATATATAGATGCATTTTATATATGGTATCGAATTGTGCCGATTGTTCGCCGCCCTGAGTCGCCTTTGGGCTGATAATGGCAAGGTAAAAATGATATAAATAAATAAATAATAGTTTTATGCAACATTTTAGGACAATTTTACGCATGAAACAAATAATTAGAAACCAAAGGTGGTCAATCTCAGATCATGGAGCATTTGAGATTTCAGAATTCCAGATAAGTGATGCTCAACTTCTACCACAAAACAATTAACATGAGACTCTATACTATAATCAGCTTCTGATCCTTCTGATTTGCTCCCTCCTGTATTTCCGCCTTTCCTAAGTTCTCCAATACTAACATGGTTACTTTATCTAACGCACTGGAACAAAAAGAAGCACACAAATACCTTTAACCCTTTTGGAAGAGGCAAGGAGAAGGTGATCTTCTGGGAGGATGTGGGTGATGATACCGATGGCACGTTCGGCATGGAATCTAAAACAAAACCACAACAGAAACATGAGGACAATAGGCATCTCTTGCCTTTTTCCTTGGAGCACCGCTGCATCTAAATAAAAACCCAAACCACCCCATTAAAAACATTAGCCACCAAGATCGGTCAAAAGCTAGCACTTTTAAGGTATTTAGTAGAGTTGGATAGGTTTGTTTGGAAAAGCCTGAAAGCCGGGAGAAAAAAATCTCAATTTTGACTTCCGAAGCAGTTTTGAACCATGCAGGAAAGATTGGGGGGGGGGGGGGGGGGGAGTCCGAATTTGAATTACTATTTTTTTTCCAGAAAGAAAAGGGAACCCATAAGGATTTATTAAGGTTGGATAGGTTTGTTCAGAAAAGCCTGAAAGTCGGGAAAAACTTCCGAATTTTGGCTTAAGATGTAGTTTTGAACCATGCAGGAAAGGTTGGGGGGGGGGGGATCCGAATTTGCATCACTTCCCTTTTTTTTCCTCCGGAAATATTCGATAATGGTCAGATGTCTCCCAAGGTTATTTTAATTTTCACAACCATTGAGCACCTTTGGTAAAGACTAAAAAGTTTTCAAATCTCATGCCTTCCCTTCCCAGCGATGGAAGGAGGGATGAGGTGGGCGTGGCTAAGCACAGCCATTGTTGTAGTTTGTGAAGGCCAGGCCCCCAATGGTAGACACTGCAAAAGGCCCTTTGTTAAACCGCATTTCCCACACGGCCTGGCTGCTCATTAGCCAAAATGGCTGAAGGACTCCCTATAGCTGTCTGTAGCAGTCTTCATCTAAATAAACTGATTCAATCTACAAAGGTGTCGAAAGAAGGCAGCAAAGCAATAAGCAACTCTTGAAAAGCCAATAGAACATAAACTGCTTAAAAACCACGAACAAAGCCCTGGAGTATTCAGTCACAGCCAGCCGGCCCTTTACATCAGTCAGTAATAATAAAATAAAATGATTGATTGCATCTGCAAAAAGGAATAAACAGATGGATGTGTCTTGAGGGTCCCCTCCAACTCAGTAAAGGAAGCAAATGGATGTCAGGATGGTGCCTTTGTGCCCAGAAGAAGGGGGTCAGTCTAGATGTCCCTTGGTGGGGTCTGTACTATGATTTCTGTTCTCCACTAATTTAACACAGTTTGTGCCACACAAACAAGGTTTCTGGAGTAGAACAACTACTTTCAAAATAAATACCACCCAATGAAACAGGAAATAACACTTTTAAACCAGGAACAGATTTCCTTATTATTTAAAAAAATGATTTTTTAATAAAAACTTTGAAAATTTGCCAAAACTCCATGGATAAGTCAAACGTTATGAAATTTGGTGAGCTAACAAGGGTCCACGTGTTCTACCACTGTAGAAAGTTTCATCTGGATTGGTCTAAAAATGAGGGAGAGAGAATTCCTTGAAGTTTCCCCAGTGTCAGTGCTGATTTTTTTCCTACTGCGCATGCGTGTCTGCCATTAACAAAGCGATTCGAAAGTTTCAGAAAGTTTTGGTAAAAAAATTTAAAATTCGGAAGTGACTTTAGAATTGAACCACCAGCGCCCACTACATCCAAAATGAGTTTTGAACCATTTTTTTAATCAACCAAGCCTAGTATTTAGGCTTTGATATAGCTGGTAGGAAAACATGCCAAACACAGGATCCTGTAGGATTTCTTGGAAAAATACATTGCTTTCCGAACGTATTCTCCCCTATGAACCATCAAGATTATTAAGATCGTCTGGAGAAGCCCTGCTCTCAGTCCCACCGGCCTCGCAAGCGCGTCTGGTGGGGACGAGGGACAGGGCCTTCTCGGTGGTGGCCCCTCGACTCTGGAACTCTCTCCCACTGGAGATCAGAACCGCCCCTTCTATCCTGACATTTAGGAAACAGGTGAAGACTTGGTTATGGAGACAGGCATTCGACGAGTGAGCCAATACCCTGAGATATGGATGGAGGATGATGAACAACGATTTTAGTGTGACGACTGACCATTATAGTTATTGAATGTAATTGCTGTTTTAAGGTTTTACTGTAATATGAATTATGATGTTTTATTGACTGTATGTGATATTATGGTTGGAAACCGGTCTGAGTCCCTCAAGAGAGGTGAGAAGGTCGGTATACAAAACTTTTAAATAAATAAATAAAATAAATTCCTCTTAAAGCAAAGAACATGCTTGTGACAAAGGGAAAATATTGGTTGAGTAAGTCAATATACAAGGTATGGTATGTGGGAGGACATCTATGCTTCACTCATGGAAAAATTACTATTATGGACTACGGTTTCTAGGATCGCTCAACCAGAAGAAGCAGATGCTTTCCCAAACTGCTCTCCTACTCCTTATTTCTTGTCCTATTTCATTCCTATGCAATCAAGGCGAGAAAAAAGCGTGATGCTTTAGCTGCCTCAATGCCGAATGGCACCCATGTCCACAAACAAGCTACTGTATTCAAGCCACATTTCTGTGGTTTCGAATTCTGCATAATTTATTCCACTGGAAGGGGTTTCGCCTTCTTACAAAGTTGCACAACCTTCCTTCGTTTGTGACTCACAGCAAGCGAACACCACAGTTTATTAAATGCAGGCGTGCAAAGCCTCCAACACAAAAGCTTCCCTTTTTACAAAGTCTTTTTAATGTCCTCCCAGCTTCCCCCTATTTTTTCTCTTCCTTGACTTGTGTCCAGTTGTATGTTGCTAGAAGCATTAGCACTGGGAGGATGGTAAAGATCGATGGGAAAATCTGACATTTAAGGCGAAAACAGTGTACAGTGTTCCCTCGCTACTTCACGGTTTGCTTTTCGCGGACTCGCTGTTTCGCGGGTTTTTGCCTCCCAGTTTATGAATGGTTGCCGTTGCTCAGAGAGGCATTGTAATCCCGCCTCCTGGCAATGATGGAGTGTGGAAGGGGGTGTCACCCTCCCCCTCGGGAGAGAGGCAGCCAATCAAGAGAGACTGCAAAGCAAAGCATGGCTAGAATCACTGGGTTGTTGTAGGTTTTTCGGGCTATATGGCCATGTTCTAGAAGCATTCTCTCCTCACATTTCGCCTGCATCTATGGTAAGCATCCTCAGAGGTTGTGAGACCTCACAGCCTCTGAGGATGCTTGCCATAGATGCAGGCGAAACGTCAGGAGAGAATGCTTCTAAAACATGGCCATATAGCCTGAAAAACCCATAACAACCCAAAGCAGAGATAGCTAGCAACCTCTGAGGATGCTTGCCATAGATACAGGCAAAACGTCAGGAGAGAATGCTTCTAAAACATGGCCATATAGCCCGAAAAACCCACACAACCCAAAGCAGAGATAGCTAGCAACCTCTGAGGATGCTTGCCACAGATGCAGGCGAAATGTCAGGAGAGAATGCTTCTAAAACATGGCCATATAGCCTGAAAAACCCACAACAATCCAAAACAGAGATAGCTAGCAAAAAAACAAAAAAACAAACAACCAAAAACAAAAACAAAAAAGTATGCAGTGCCTTTAAATCTCTCCTCACTTCTTCACCCTTGGAAATGGATTTACATATATACTGTCCCTACTTCGGGGATTTTCACTTTTTGTGGGTGTTTCTGAACATAACACCCACGATAAGTGAGGGAACACTGTAAACACTGTATCTCAGTTGAAGTATCAGTGGGGAAATAGTGGGATTCTTTTCTAGTTGTCCCTGCGGTAGGTGTGTGTGCCTGACTACAACAGGCAAGGTAAACAGCAGCTGCCTCTAAAACCGCTTCCTATAAATGTGTTAACATCAAAACAGAGAGAAAAGGGAAAGACAGATTAGCTGAACCGTTCTTCTTGTCATTTGTTGACCTTCTTGGAGTCTGTTGCCAATTCCCATCCTGTGGAATACTTAATTTAGAAAAGGCCAAAAAAAAAACCAGCACCACATACAATCAACAACAGTAAAAAAAACCAAAAAACCCAGAGATATAAAGGGAAAAGAGCACTCACAGTGCATTGTCAAACTTTCCCGAACTGTACTGGTGAACATACGACGAATAAGCCAAGTCCTCATGAGCTGTCGCGACGTGGATGTTTTTTCCGCCAAAGACAGACTGCCTGATGTCTAGCGCTGTCTGAAAGGACGCAAAGAAAACAAATGAGTTCCAGTCACTCAAGATGGGCCTTCCAAACCCACATTTCATGATATTTCTGGGACCCAAAACACACACGACTGATTCCCTGCAGAGAGAAAGCTAGCATGAGAGGGGACACTAAGATTTTCCTTAACTTTTTCCTAAAGTCCTCTGTTTTTGTACTTAACATAGAAGAACATTTGAAACATGCTGTCACATAAGCTGAAGATGTACAGTTGATTTTATTTTGCCCAAAACACTCCATCCAGCTATCTAATGAAAGTGAAAATATATACATATGTTTGTATTTTGGTGCGTATTTTCCAAGATGGCTCCCACATCCAGAAAACACTGTGACTCCTGCCGACGATGTATCTGGACCAAGATTGGCCAACTTAAACTACCTTCAAGGCTTGGGGGAGTGGACCCAGGATTATGCGAGTTGTAGTTCACCCACATCCACAGAGCTCTGTGAACTCCATCAATGGATCTGCACTGCACACATGCTAATCACAATAATCTCAAAATACTGGTAAGGTTTCAGGAGAGATTTGAGGGAGGATTCTAGAATCCTAGAGGTGGAAGAGACCCCGTGGGCCATCCAGTTCAACCCCATTTTGCCAAGGAGCTGGAAAATCGCATTCAAAGCACCCCAGACAGATGGCCATCCACCCTCTGTTTAAAAGACTCTAAAGAAGGAGCCTCCACCACACTCCGGGGCAGAGAGTTCCACTGCTGAACAACTCTCAAAGAATCCTAGAGTTGGAAGAGACCTGGTGGGCCATCCAGTCCAACTCCATTCTGCCAAGAAGCAGGAAAACTGCATTCAAAGCACCCCCGACAGATGGCCACCCAGCCTCTGTTTAAAAGCCTCCAAAGAAGGAGTCTCCGCCACACTCCGGAGCAGAGAGTTCCACTGCTGAACAGCTCTCACAGTCACAGAATCCTAGAGTTGGAAGAGACCTGGTGGGCCATCCAGTCCAACCTCATTTTGCCAAGGAGCAGGAAAATCGCATTCAAAGCACTACTGACAGATGGCCATACAGTCTCTGTTTCAAAGCCTCTAAAGAAGAAATATCCACCACATTCCAAGGCAGAGAGTTCCACTGCTGAACAACTCTCAAAGTTACAGAATCCTAGAGTTGGAAGAGACCTGGTGGGCCATCCAGTCCAACCTCATTTTGCCAAGGAGTAGGAAAATCGCATTCAAAGCACCCCCGATAGATGGTCATCCAGCTTCTGTTTAAAAGCCTACAAAGAAGGAGTCTCCGCCACACTCCGGGGCAGAGAGTTCCACTGTTGAACAGATCTCAGTCAGGAAGTTCTTCCTAATGTTCAGGTGGAATCTCCGTTCTTTCCAATCGTTTGAATCCATTGTCCCATTGCTTGATTTGATCTTGGACCTGTTTCATAGAATCATAGAGCTGGAAGAGACCTCGTGGGTCATCCAGTCCAACCCCATTCTGCCAAGAAGCATTCAAATCATAATAATAATAATTAATAATAATAATAAATAAAACTTTATTTATATACTGCTCCATCTCCCCGAGGGGACTCAGAGCGGTTCCCAGGTAACATCACAAAACATGCAAAGTAAAAACAATATAACCATACGATTAACAAAACAAAATATAAGCATAAAAATTGTCGCCAAGAACCCCAACAGTTGGCCATCTGTTCAAAGCCTCTAAAGAAGGAGCCTCCACCACACTCCGGGGCAGAGAAAGAGTTCCACTGCTGAACTGTTCTCATAGCCAGGAAGTTCTTCCTCGTGTTCAGGTGGAATCTCCTTCCTTTCCTGTAGTTTGAAGCCATTGTTCCACATTCTAGTCTCCAGGGCAGCAGAAAACAAGGCTGTTCCCTCCTCACTATGACTTCCTCTCACATATTTATACATGGTTATCATGTCTCCTCTCCACCTTCCCTTCTGTAAGCTAAACATGCCCAGCTCTTGAAGCTGCTCCTCATAGGGCTTGTTCTCCAGACCCTGGATCCTTTAAGTCACCCTCCTCTGGACACATTCCAGCTTAGAGTCAAGCTTGCCCTTCAATTGTGGTGCCCAGAATGGGACACAATGTGATTAGGCAGAAAAAAATTAAATGCAAAGGGACAGAATGGGGGATGCGTGATTCAAGAGCAATATTTATT